GAAAAATAGAAAGGGGAAAGATGAGAGTCAAACAGAAAAAACAAAGAAGATAACAAAAAAATTTTCACATAAGAAACATGCAAGCATAAAATCTCATTCATACAATGTAGTACATGCACTGTAATTCATAAATACATGTACGTGTGTACATGATCTACATGTACAGTACAAGCCAATAAAAACTTCGCGTTCCGTTTACGTTGAACGGCCGTTGGGCGTTTCAACGCTATATAAAAAACGTTTACTTCCGTTTATGGTCCGTTTTTCCACCGAGCACGTTTTTACGTTGGCTCAACGTTTTGTCCTTGCCTCCTTGGTTTTCTCGAGTTTTCTTTACTCCACAGATACTACTATGCTTGTTCTTGACTGCCGCTCTGGAGATACTACTGTCATATCAGTTCAGTGTGGACCTCAACTCAAAGAGACGCTGTGTTAAGTCGAGGTGTGAAGTACTCGTGTCGTTGGAGGACGGGCCACCAGGCTCGGTGTAGTCTCCATTTATTGTGTGATAAGCATTAGTTATCAGTATTATTACTATATTTCTATCATTATTCTACTCTTACTTTCAAAAACTTGTATTATATATATATATATTTTATTTTATAAAAGATTCAAGCGTCATGCATTTTGATCTTGGTACTAGCAGGTCTATAATTACATGATTTTATTTTATAAAATAATAATAATATAATAGCTGCTTCTTTGCTTGACAGAGCACTCTTTCTTGTGACTACTTCTTGTCGTCCTATTGAATCATACAACATGAGAATAAGGTGGGTGAATTATATATAATGCATGTCGCTACGTTTATGACTTACCTGTCTGGTTTTATCATCAACCATGGCTCATAGTCGTTTTGTAAGTGTATCTAAGAAAGCCTGACTCCTGAAGAAACTGTCAGAAAAGAGAAAAGTCGAGCAACGCTTGGAGCGTTGTTCATGAAAATAAAAACGGTAGTGCCAGACCCAACGGACCATGAACGGAACAACCACAATAAAAACGGAAACGGCGCTACCGTTTAATCGCCGTTCAACGTAAACGGAACGCAAAGTTTTTATTGTCTTCTACTGTACGTATATATACATGTACATATTGTACATGCTTATATACAATGTAAATGTACATGTACATGTATATTCACATCTATGTACATTGTACATGTACATGTACAACCATGGTGAGTCTCACGTGACTGTCATGTGACTAGTCATGAGACTCCTGACCTCAGCGAGCGTGTGTTAATATTGTCTTTGTACATGTACTGTGTATATTCACATCCAAACTCACTTCAAATTCAGGCAGTGCACGAAGAGCAGAGAACAGTGTCATGGTTTTACCAGAGCCAGGTGGACCACACAGTACCATCGGCTTATGCTCCCCCAACCATGTATAGAGGAGACTCTCATGTCTCACTGTATCAAGAGTGGGTACCAAAACATCAGGAGAACATACTTTATGAGTCTCAACCTCAATCTTGGGTACTCTAAAGAGGGGTGTTAAATAGAAATAAGGGGCACTAAATAGAAATGAGGGCATTAAATAGAAATCAGGACATTAAATAGAAAACAAGGCATTAAATAGAAATGCTGATTTGTTAAATTACCTGTTAGACCACAGTACCCATTCTCCTTGAATGTTAACTTCAAAATCAATGATGGGGGAGTGCCAGGTATTCCGATGGATTTAATAAGAAACCCAGGAGGTTTACTATGAGAGCCCGGGGAGTTTACTATGAGTTCCCGGGGAGTTTTTAAGTGAAATAAAACACTTTTAGTGGTGTAATCTGATTGGTCAATTACATGTATGTATATTCTAATCATTCTTAATAACACTAGCATCAGATAAAACCATTGCATATTCTTCTTTATATCTACATGTAAGTAAAGAAATAAAAGTAAAAATATAAGTTTCACTTTTAATGAATTTTGTTTTGTTCTTTACTTTGCTATGGAGGCTTCAAGTTCTGCTATTATTTTTGTTATTTCTTCTCCTTTT